AGATCTTTGTTTAGCGGAAGCGAGAGCAAACATCTGATTTTGATGAGATTGTTTTCCTTCTCACATTTGTTATTTCATCACTTCTGACATAATTACATGGGTATGAATTGCTAAAATGAATGAAAGGACTGCATCTTAGTGTGGAGCAAGTCCTTGAGCCAATATGAATGATTAATATATTTGAACCAGTTTTATCCACATCTCCTAGAAATATCAGCTTTGGTCAAAAACTTGCTCATGGTCAGAATGTTCCTTAAAATATTTAAAATCAGCCTTTTTGACACATTTTAGCCTTACCTAAACATTAAATTTTGCCATAAGCCCCAAACATGAAAGTCATGAAACGAAAAATGCCAAATTGAATTCTCATTCAAATTAACACACGTGAAAGCTGACTTCTAAAGGTTTTGATGGTTTCTTAAAATTATGCATTTCTTGTGGAGCTAAAAGACCCATATCCTTTATCGAACCATCTTCCTGGTGCAAGGGAGTTAACTGCCCATGAAAGTCCAGGTTCCACCATTGTCGAACAAGGCTTAAATGTTGCGGCTCGATCGTAGGGAAATCACAAACTATTACATTTTATATCCCTTGTATGTCCCTCATGGCCAATCAGATTCCACCACTCATTTTATTTGCATTCGCTGTTGTTTTTGTTTTAAAAAATGGCCGGCTTCCAGTCAAGGCGAATCAAAATCTATATTGTAGTAAAACGGGTCTTACCTCGTGAGGTGCATCACTTGAGGACTTTGTTAAAAAAAATGAAAAGATTTGAAAAATATCCGTCGACGACCAGTTGGCGATACACATGCTCGGCCTATCCTGCAATCGACCGAGATTTGCACGGCTGTCACCATGTTGTGTTGGAGCTCATGGAGTATCTGAAACTTGCTCCATCAAGAAAAGACAGAACACGATTTCAAAAGGTACATGGTACTTATGGAAATGCACAGCAGGAGATGGGAGTAGTAATTGAGATTAGTTTCTGTAAAGTATGTTATGTTAGTGAGTATTGTTTAACGCGGCATTTAGCAATATTCCAGCAATTTAACGGCGAGGAACACCAGAAATGGTCTTCACACATTGTACCCATGAAGGGAATCGAACCCAGGTCTTTGGGGTGACTAGCAAAATCTTTAACCATAAGACTACCCCACCGCACCATTTAAAGTATGTGAACAAAATGCAATATGATAAAGAAATAGCAAGTGGTTTCGTGGAATTCGATTGGTTAACCAAGCAACCAATTTTGCATTAATGTTTCCATAAACCGAAAAATAAAAAGGCCACACCCATTAATTGACTGTTTCCTGATTTGTTGATAGTAGAATGTGCGGGGCTTGTGTTACTGTAGTGAAGGACTATATGTCACTGATGTCCTATTGATATCTCTTGATTTCTATGTTAAAGATTATAAAAATGATAAGTAAGTTGTATGTGAAGTTCTTATTGTTGGCGTGTTTATTTATAAGAATTGACTTCAATAGGTATTTGCGTTTATGGAGATGTGACGTAAAGACAGATTTGCACGTTTTGAGTGAATCTAATCAGTGTGGCTACCGGAATATACGTTTCTTCCTCCATAAATAATCATTTAAATTAAAAGCAATAAAAGCACAAGTTTTGCATTTTTGTTATGGTAATGTATACAGTATTTCTATGTGTAAAGTAAAACATTTTATCATATAGTGGGTGAATTTCTCGGCAGGATAAAGCCCAGGGATAAAAACGATAAGGGTTGGGGTCATATGCGGATAGAGATGCAAACATCAAAGGTCAAGTTTGGGCTACTTTTACTGTTTATAAACAAACATGGCGTCGCCTTTGTCATTCGGCGATGAAGTCAGAGTTAACCAGCAGGAATCTGGATAAACAACTGGGATAATTGCCATGACTATCAAAAGAATAGACTAATATACCGAAAATTAGTGTCTAACTGTGACGTTGCTTTGTCATTTTACAAGTTTTGGCAACTTTGGAGATATGAATTCCGAAACAATATTGCGAGGGCAGTTGCCAAGGGGGATCACTTTCCATATCTGTGCTTGTAGACTTCTGTGGCTTGGAACCTCTTCCACAAATTAAAAAAGTTGGATTTGGCAGAAATATGTTCGTATTATTACCGTGTGTCGTTTTGTCACAGTGTATACATCTGACTGCACCTCGTAACGTTATGACAGGACAGGCCGACTCTCAACAACGTCTGACTGTGGCCGTGATGTTTACTAGACTAGGGTAAGAGTAGCTTCCCTTGATAAAGGGCAGTTACTCTATCGGAAAGACCGATGGATTGCCGCGAAAGGCAAGTAAAAACAATTTGCGTAGGCAATTGTTGTTTTGCATATATATAGTTACCCCACTGTATAAGAAACAGGTTTCTGTTGGAACTATATCCGCTGCTGTCACTGTCCGACTGACACATCACTTACCCTCTGACGTAACATATATTAATGTGCATATTGCAGGAAAACTTGCAGTGTTTATAGGTAATGTTTGTGAGGGATTTTCGAGCACAGAATTGAAGAATGACATTATATGATAAAGAGGTTATCACGCTTGTGTGTTTTGGGATGGTAAATATCATGTATTAGGAGTAAACGCATGATAACCTCTATATACTTGCAGTACCGGATGGCTGATCATGCGTTGTTTTATATTGCAGGGATCATCTGCAAGAACAAATGAAAACGAAATTGAGGACTCCACATACATTACATTGAATTAAATTTAAGAATTTAAATTCGTGTTTTCTTTTTATTTAACAATCATGTAGAAAACTCTATTTCAAAGCCTTTTTGTAACGGAGGCAGATGCAGGTACATGTATATTCCACGCTATCCATTTATTATAATTTTTGGAATGAGCTTGGTGTAAAAGTGACGTACTAAAATGATCTAGACATTATTAAGGAAAACTGAAAACATATATTCGACCATACGAGTATTACCGAAACATCTCCTATGGGTACGAACCACTTTGGTTTAAAAAAGCGTTGAGTTCACACCAAGAAAATCTGGACTCAGTGATGAATATGTGTGGACGTGCCAGGGTAGTTTAAGAGACCGACCATTTAATACTCTTGGGAATAGGAGGGGCTGGGATATAATTTCACTCTTAGTTTCTTTTCTTCTACCACAGCCACAAAACCAGATATATATCAAATGGTCGGTCACTGCAATATATATATATATATATACATATATATATATATATATATAAAGATATGTATAAGGAATATAAAGATATATACTGAACCGCAAAAGAAACGTTACCATAGATAGATATATGAGAAACCTTATTTTCCCAAACACTGTAAACATACTTTGAAACTTGGTAAAACTTGGTAAAACTGATCAAGATTGTAATTGAAGTGTCAAATGTTCTTAAAGTGAAACACAACACCAGTCTCTGAGAAAATGGCATCACGAATCAGTGTCTCGTGTGTCCGCCACAGGCATTGATGGCTGCCGTGCAACGTCGATACATGGAATGGATGAGGCGCTTGATGAAGGCCATAGGCACTTGAGCCCACACACTAAGGAACGCCTGACGCAGTTCAGCTGCAGTTGTCGGCCTTGGTCGGACGTCATTCAGCCGTCTTTGAATCTCTTCTCCACTGATTGTGACGCCAATGCTGGTGCTGTGTTCCCCACTGAAGACGGTCCCGGCGATGACGTGGTGTCAGAATGGGTCTTCGGTGTAGCCTGTGATAGTGGAGGTGTCAGCTCGTCAATCGTCGACGCACGGTGTCTGCATTAATGTGTCGCTGGTGTGTCTCTATGGTCTGTCGAGCAGTTTCCGCAGCAGTTATAAAGCGATCTTGAAGATGCTGTCGCACAATCTGACGATCCTGACGTCGGGTGGTGACCCTTGGTCTTCCACTACGTAGTCGGTCATCTGTATTGTTGGTGGTCTGGTACCGTTGCTGGAGCCTGTATATGGTCCTTACGTGGAATTAAAATGCAGCGGCTACTTGACGAGCGGTTTGTCCAGCTTGCAATCGTCCAAGAGCTTTTCGTCGCTTTTTTCTTGTCAATCTTGGCATGTGGTAGCAATTCAATAACGAATGATTGTTATACGATGTGAGTGGATTCTTATAGGGCAAGAAATTGGTGAACGCATGTGCATTTCAGTTTCCACTCATGTGCATCGGGTTACAATGGCCGTTGCTGTGTTGCGTTTGGGCGATCTGTCTTATTGTCATCCGCTTTGGTTTATTTATCGTCAAATTTCATTTTTCTTGGCAAGGTAATTTTAAACTTTAGAAACTTTGAAAAAAATAACCCAGATATTTAAATGACAACTTTTCATGCAATCTTACTGTGGGTGACGTTTCTTTTGCGGTTCAGTATATATATATATATATATATATATATATATATATATATATATATATATATATATACACATACATATATATATATATATATATATATATATATGTAGTCAAAGCAACCAATCTGCGAGTCTTCAGATATACGTTGTGACAACATAACTTCGCAATGTTGTAGCAACGACAATTTAACGTTGTGACAACGTAGACCTGTTTGCTGGGATCTTAGTAAGTCAACTAAAAGTACTTCCTGATGGGTGACCTCGATTGCATGTTTATCGTATTGTGATCACAAATTTATGGGATTGGTTTATCATATTGATGTCACTGTCTGGGATCTGACAACAGTGGTCTGTAATGTCTCCATGGTGTAATCAATAGTCCTTGTGTGGGTACATGTGTAGGTGGGAGTAGCACCGACACACATCATGCATCTTTCTTCAACTATTTATCAAATTAATAGATGATTCTCAAAATGTTGCTGTGGGAAGCATAAGATTGGGACAGGGTATCTACTCAGCTGGATAGGTCCGCGGAACACTTATTCCAACACTAGGGTCGTCTCTGTACCACATGACCTCGACCACCACATGACTGTCAGATGACCAAGGAGTGAACCTGATTAGATTTATTTTAAATTGTTCTCGTGCTTATCAGCAAACCTGCCCGAGCTCTCATTGCGTCACTACATCACACTGTCGCGGGTGGAGAGGCCGTGTCGGGACACAGGGTAAGTTATGTGTTACACTACAGGGAGACAGAGATATGCAGCATTATGCTGGAACATACATTAGAACCTCAAACTGGAAAGGTCGACTGTTTTTCAGAAATAATCTCACATTGTGTGAAACTGGTCAGTTTAGTCACATCCAGTGCTGGGAATCTACTCTAACCCAGGTCGAAATGGAGTTACGTTCGGTTGAGATTGTGAGAATAATTTACACGTCTACCAGTGTCAATTACCCCTCGAAACAAATGTGAAAGGGGCGTGAAAATTCAAACATTGAATACTTGTACAGGGACTCGTCATTGATATATAGGGTGGAATGGTCGGTGAGCGTTGATCATGAAAATAGGCCACAGTGAAAGACTGGGATCGATAGATGTTATCACAGGTATATAGATTTGTGTGGGGTATATATATTTGATCATTATTTAATGTAATGTTTTTCAGTTATTATTGAAACAAAATGCAAAATTATAGAACATGAAATGTTTATATTAAAACTATTGGTTTATAACATGTTATAACCGGTACATGTATGGACTTGAACCAGTTGGTTGATAATGCATTTGCGACCAACACTAATGCATTAGCAAACCGCACTAATTCATTAGCAACCCACACTAATGCTTTAGCAACCCGCCCTAATGCATTAGCAACCCGCACTAATGTTTTAGCAACCCTAACCCTAACCTAACCTTACCCTAACCCTAACCAAAACCTGACAAAGCGAAAGTCAGTTTTTTAAGTATTTGGACAATGATTAGTTTTCATGAATGTAGTAGTATTTAATGTAAGCTGTGGTAAAGAAGTTATTATATTTATATGCTCGAAATATCTGTAAACTTCCGAAATATCATGGATGGATGTCATGAGTTAAAGTAACATGTGGAATATTCTGTGATGTTCAAGGGACACTGGACTTTTCTGACACTGTGTAGGAAATGCTTGAAGCTGGTAACATTATCTAAGTGCGGCTGGCGCGTCACTGTCTCATCTCACATTACATCCGTCATTACATCAAGACCAGCTTTTGTGTGAAGATCATATATCAGCCCGGATTCCCAGCCTAGGCCTATCTCGGAAGCTTGACTGTTCCGAATAGGTGAATATTATTATCACTGAACATTTTGAAAACACCACTGCCATCATAATTTTGCATTTGATACTGCCACTGACCATTGTACTACCACTCTATTGGGAGTTGCCATTGTAATTGCTGTACAGAAATGAGTATTGATTTATAAAACAAGTTAACTGTGTAATACAATTGTTGATTGTATACCATTTGTTGGTTTCACACTAAATTCTGTTATGAAAAGATGTCTCGATTAACATATTTCAATTGGTTATCGACACCTAACAAGATGTCAGAATCATACTTTGATGAGGAATGTTGATATGAGAGATGGAGTGCTACTGAATGGGAGCCAACACTTGGAAGGCTATTAGTCAACTGTTTGAAGGTGCAAGCGGAAAGTAATTTTATTGAAATAAACTTGCTGTTCAGCGAAATAATTTTGTGCTTCTAACGCATGACATTTAAAACTGTGTCAAACAACAGTTCTTGCAATAATTTAAAATATCACTTCCTGGTTTTATATAACAGAAAACTGCTTATCTCTTTGTAACTGTAACTTAGTCCATGTACCTGACATTTGTCTCTGATGGAGACACATAACTGTTAATGTTGTCCTATCCATCATGTAGTGCACGATTCTCACTGGTACTACTGTATTGTACAAGTTGCATCAATTAAACATGCAAGATAAATATAAATAACAAATCAAATATTTTACATTTAAATATAATTTTATGAACTGCTGCTGTCCTTATACAACATTGATTTCCCTTTGAGTTAATAGTGAGTGAGTGAGTGAGTTGTATTTAACGCCGCTTTGAACAGTATTCAAGTTATATCACGGCATATCAGTTTAACATGGGGGATACAGGTCTCAGACGTTTACCACTTCGGTGAAACCCACGAGCACGAGTATGGTGCTGAAAAACCTAGAAACATAATCGGGGCGAACCGGGATTCGATCCCACAATCGTGGGTTTCTGGCATGCCCAAGGGACGCAAATCTGCACAGCGAATCGCGGCGCCTTAGACAACTGAGCCACCCGCGCCCCCTCTTTGGGTTAATAGGTCGCTCTGATTCACTGCGCTGCTACATTGCATTATTTCCAGACACTCCACGTTAACACAATCCCACTTGTGGTCGAATCCCAATTCCTTGTTACACACATTCATTCGTCAACACTCGCCCCTATCCGTAAACAGCGAGAAGCTTGTCCCGGAATGACACGATCTGGCCACGAATGAATCACTTCCTGCTGCTCAATTTCTCCTTTAGGACCGCCGAGAGTTGAGAAATACACGCACGCACGCAAGCACACAAATACAGTGTATTGAAGAATGTTAGTTCATAATTCATAACATCTGCATACATCTGAGATAATGTTGTTGTTTTTACGAAACGGGATATTTGTTAATTGTTTCAAGATCTGGATGATCCAGGCGCTGAATGGGAGGATAGAAAATACCCTTCCTCAGTTTTGAACGGGACAGTAAATAAGTGCCACAACTACAGCCAGTCTTAGTGTTCCATGTTTAAGGGCAGTAAGCTCGGGTTGTGGCTAAAATTTGTATTTAGTGTACACCGAAAATACAAGGGCTGGTTTTGTCTTTTTGTAGGTAAGTTGGCGACCTCCCAGAAGTTAACAGAACACTTCCTGACATGCACGATATGTACAGAGGTGTTTGACAAGGCCTGTACACTTGTATGTAATCACACCTTCTGTCGGAAATGTGTGGTCAACTACACCAAAACCAGACCAGAAGCCATCAGTGCCAAGTCTCTCCTGTGTCCATTCTGCAGCAAGATGACGAAAGTGTCTGCCCCTGAGAGACCAGTGGAGGAGTGGGCGGATGACTTCAAGCCTAGCTTTGCCATCCAGGGACTCTTGGACTCGTTTGGCCCCGGATGTAAAGGTGAGAGTTTGTGGTTTGTACGTATATAAGTGTGGTTCCTAGGTCTGAGTGAGTAAGTGTACTGAGGATACGAACGTGTGTGAAGTTGAGAAGAAACTTTTCTGTGAATTTTCTAAACCTGTTGATGGTGTTGTTTGGAAGGCTTGTGTAAAAAATGAAATCCTATTGTGAACATGTGCTTAATGAGTAACATCCATGTGATCTAAGGTCTATCTCAGACACAGACGTTGTCTTTTCTACGATCTATGTGGTAAAATAAACCAGTGCAACAAATCCAGTGTTATTTGAATAATATTTCACGAAAGCACAACACATCCACATAAGTTCACGATGAGCCACAAAAGGTTCCATATGGAACATAATTGCACAGCGCCGTGGTTCTTTTGGTTTTGGTTTGAGAAAGTTACATGGGATGAGTAGTAGTTGGAAAGATGTAAACCAACTTCTTTTCTCACAAATGTTTTAGGGGCGGTCGGGTAGCCTAGTGGTTAAAGTGTTCGCTCCTCACGCCGAAGACCCGGGTTCGATTCCCGCCATTGGTTCAATGTGTGAGGGCCATTTCTAATGTGTCCCCCACCGTGATATTGCTGGAATATTGCTAAAAGCGGCGTAAAACTATACTCACCAACTCACTCACTCACAAATGTACAATGATATGCCTACATTCGAAGTACTTATATAACTTTTTAAATCATTTCTAACTAACTGTAAATTATAACACTAAACAGCTTTCTGTTATTCGGTTACAATCAAAAGAGGAGATCAAGCTCTGTCCTAGATTGTTGGTTTACCTGCTCCAGAGCGCTTGCGCTCTTCGCCTGCAGCCGCTAGAAGGCGAAGGGCAAGGTACCAGTAGGGTTCTATTCGCTATTTCGCTACCGTGAAACGTTGACCCATTTCGTGAAGCGGGTGTGGCTGTCGAGAGGATCGAGAACAGGCGTACAGCGGGAAACGTTGACACAGTTTCCTTGTAGCGAGGTATTAGCACTTTTGTACAGTGTGAAAAATTTACATTACAAGCTACAGGAGTAAACATATCAGCATTAGGAAGGTAACTCTCACAGGGAAGTTGGCTTCATGGTTTAAAAAACCCAAACACACTCACAACAATTTTAACAATATCTGCATGTCTCCACTGATCGTCTTCATTATGAAATGCAAATTTTCCAGTGTGGATATATCAATGTCAACAGTGCCTTGTATACCACTATGATTGTGTCAACTTAACATCCCAAATACTAGTTTTTTAACATACTATGTTTGTTTTCTACTTTTATGTTACATAAATATTTAGACTGAAATGTTGCATATTCATATTCCTGATTCTGGAGGACCACATGCAAATTACAATTTGTTTTACTTTCTGGGTTACACATGTACGCTTTATGACAGAATAGGTACTGCAGAACTGGTAGTTATGCTACAACATTTCATTGCCCCATGTTGATACTTTGGTTCAAAGTTATCTTGTTAACTCAGATACGACCTACTGCAGTTATTGCAAGGAAGAAGGGGAGACAACTCCAGCTACATCTTGGTTCTCTGTCTGTGATGACGCAATCTGTGAACGATGTTTAAGGATGCACAAACGAATCCCATCTACCAATCACCATGACGTAGTTGACCTGTCTGGAGAGACAAAGGTCAAGGTCAAAAGAAAGGTCATGTGTAAAGTTCACAAGGATGAAAATATCAAATATATTTGCAAAGATTGTAAAACAGCAGTTTGTCAAACATGCTGCATTATCCATCACAGGAAATGTGACTTGGTTGTTGAAATTGAGTCAGAGATTCCTGCCATGAAAACCGAGCTGAGAAAGAATAAAGAGGATTTGTTGAAGAAACAGGACGAGATGAAAACACATGTTAGAAAACAAACCTCCAACGTCGATGAAGCATTAACGCATTACTTACAAATAGAATCGAATATCAAGTCTGCAAGTCTCAAAGCAAAAGAGGTGATCAAAGTCAAGGAACGGAGACTTTTGACTGAACTGAAGGAAATGTCTGACAAACACATTGGAGAACTGAAGGCAGACATAAAGTCAGGTGAGATGTCAGTACAGATGTACCAACAACAGGCTGAACTGATAGACCAGACTCTACAATCTGAGTGTGACATGGGTGTGTATGAGATGTACCAGGGATGTGAGGCCGGTGATGTGGAGGCTGTCGGAGTCGCAGACGTGACGGAGAAGGGAAGAATAGCCAGGATCATGTTCATACTGGACACGGACAAGCTGAGTAGACAACTGGACGATCTACAGCTGGGTGAGATAGACGTCCTGTATGAGGGTGTGCTGGACCTGAAGGCTACTCATGTGTTACAGGACACCATTAACGTCAGAGTAGCAGGAGATGTATATGAACCAAACCTCTATGACGTGACGGTGTTACTGGTGCATGGTACAGACACAGTGGTAGCCTCAGACCACTACAACAACAGCGTGAAATCCTTCTACACCAGGAAAAAGAAGCAATGTCACAGCAGGCTCAGTCTGAGTGGTCCTCTGTGGGGTATAACAAAGTTGAAGGACAACCAGGTGGCTGTCACTGTGCAAGATACCAGACAGATTGTAACAGTACAAGTCAAACCTGACCTGGTGCTGCTGTCAACCATCACAACAATCAAACAGTACTTCGGTATAACGTCTCTGACACCATCAACACTAGCAGCAAGTTCCGTCCTCCCTCCCTGTGTTGATATTCTGGATATGGCGGGACACGTGCTGAAGTCAATTTGTCCTGGCCAACCTAGTAGATACATCTTGAAGTATCCCCTCTACCTCTGTACCACGAGGACAGGAAACATCCTGGTGTCTGACTGGGGATCCAAGTGTGTCGTGTGTCTGACTCCCGAGGGAGATGTGGTGTTCACCTACAGCCCTTCAGGAGACACAGAGATGGAGCATCCACGTGGTATCACAAGTACCAGCACAGGTGACATCCTGGTGACAGACCTCAATCTCGACAGAGTCCTCCATCTGACTGAGGCAGGACAGTTTGTTAGAACCATACTGACATCACAGGATGGAGTCCAGTTTCCACGTGGAGTGTGTGTTGGTGGGCGTGGTCGTATGTACGTGTTTATGTCAGATGAAGTGAAGGTATTTACATTGAACTGAATGAACATGTCGCAATCCTCCTTTCAATAAACTGTAGTCACGTGTGAGTTGAGGATTTAGGTGTAGTATTATGTGTCATTGTGTATTTACCTTTAAGCACATTTCACTGTGTTTTAGTAAAATCACATTAAAAATTAGTCTTTAATCACTCATCTGAGCTTTGCAATTTGAATGTGATGAATGAAGGTCTGTAAGTGTACACATTTTATTTGTAATCTCAGTAGCAAGACACGGCTGTTCACGTACTGCTTTAATTTTTCAGATCTCATCTGAACATGTTTCCTATTTTATATATTACCAACTTCGAATGTAAGTGGCTTTGATGGAAGATCCTTACATCGAATACCAGATCCTCCGCATGATGTGTTTTTCATTTGTGCAACCACTATGACAGCGTAGCGGAGCGTTTCCTTCTGTGTTATAACTAGATGTGTTGTGAGCTATGTCAGTGTAGGATAGATATTTACATGACAATAATCATTGCTTGCTATGCTGAGGATACTAAGCAGCACTGTTTGTTACAGCTTTACACACGGGACGTCGTTTAACTATTTATTCCTGATTTATATCAACAATTCATTTAATGATACCCCAAGATGAATTACTGTAATCATAAACCTACTGTATAATGGATCTATTCGTAATATCTGATTTATCTGTGGAATATTTACGTGACAGCCAGACTTCCTTGATGTGCGGAAAAAAAGAAAAAACAACAACACTGTTTTGTTACAGACTTATAGACATTCTTCAGACCACATTCATCCGGGCGACAGTTGCATTGCAGTGGAGGTCCGCGAGAGTCTGGCGTTTCTGAATTCTGAGTTCGACAGGCTGATCGTGTGACATGCGGTACGAAAACCACCAAAACAGTCAAAGTGAAAAGCCCGTATTTAGCAGCCGTTGTGACCAACCGATCTCCAATTTAGTCACCTTGTATAACATGTGTTGAAATTAAGGGACGAATTTAAGTACAATGTCAGCCGCAGAATCACCTGAAACTACTATTGTACATACATACATTAAATGTACTAAATGTTTTGGTAACTTTACTGAAATGTTTCGCGTTATGAAGCACTGAACCGACAGCTCTCTCGTTTCTGCGGTGAGGACTTGTTACATTCACTTGGTAACTGAGAGGTCGAAGGGAGATAAATCGTGATTAGATGTTTTCGCGAAGCGCAAAAAATACAGTGAACGAATATAAACGTGAAGCCCATTTTATCACAGAGTGTGCTGTTTATGTGTGTTGCAAATAAATTACTCCTCTGTAATTCTATGTTGGTCAACGCTGCAATATTTAAGCTACATGTATGACGGTATATAATCGAGTATGGACGCGAGAAACCAGTGATTGACATCACAAGCAACATCCCAAGTCGTTGGGTCACGATGACACTGTATCATCAAGGTGACGGAGTCTGAGCATTAAGTCGCATCGTACGACCCGCACAGGTTGCTAACCTGGAATCCTAACGTGGAGACCTTCATTGGCTGCTTGTTCACCGCCAGTGCGATAAAGACGCACAAAGGTCTTTCCATATTCATAGGAAATCTCTGCTTGAATCAGAGTCGACTTTATTGAACACTATCAAATTGTGTTGATACCAGGTGTTTAGAAAAAGGTGAGCGGAGCCTGTCCAACCGGCGGCTCCCATTACAATCATGTTAATTTTCACCTGAAAAGACACTGAAACATGTGGATCAAATAAAAAAAGGGAATAACATCTGACATATGTTTCACCATGTTAGTTTTGCCGACGTCGGCAACCTGAACATACTATACAATCAATAGGAGCAAGTGTTATATTCTAGAGCCGAGGGGACTGTTCTCGACCTGTGTACCGTTGTTTTGTACCCAGGGTACATGCATCTAGATGTCCACGATGTTCTCCGATTTGTATGTGTACCATTCCTGTACCCCGCATATATAAAATTGTACCCAGGTTTCAGAGCAAATAAAGAATATTTTGTACAAACCTGCATAACAGTAGCACCAGAATCATGTATTCACCCTGTCGTTATTGTGGAAATCCTACAGGATACAACTAGTAAACCCACCTGTCCATGTCAGACAGAAATCAGTCAGTCTTTGTTCAGTATGTTCATGTTAACAACAGAAAGAAACTTACAGCCGTAAACATGATAAAATTGATCAACTTAGTTTACACGACATTGCAGCGAAGATATGCCATAGAATCCACATTTAAACCCAACAAATAACATACTTACTCAAATAGTTTTATAGGTTTGTCAGTACCGTGGTTTCACCAAAGTGGTAAACGTCTGAGACCTGCAACACTTCGGGCTTTCCCCCGATATTAGGATTGCACGCCATTGTATAACTGGGTATAACACAGATGATATAAACCAACACTAATGCTTTACCAACCAACACTAATACATTACCAACTCACACTAATACATTACCACCCCCCACTAATACATTACCAACCAACACTAATACATTACCAACTCACACTAATACATTACCAACCCACATTAATACATTACCAAATCACACTAATACATTACAACCCCCCACTAATACAAAATCAACTCACACTAATACATTACCAACCAACACTAATACATTACCAATCAACACTAATACATTACCACCCCCCAAAAAAAACCAACAACACAAAAAACAAACAAACAACAAAACAAAACAACAACAAAACAACAACAAAACAAAACAACAACAAACAACAACAACAAATTAAAAAATATAAAAAACCAAAAAACTTTGAAATATTTATATTCAAATAATCAGACATTTTATCGAATTATCTTCCCGAGACACTTAATATAAAAAGTCCAGTTTTCACCAATGCCGAATCATTCGTGACCAACGGGACAAGCCGAATAGAAAATCCAAAAATATTCCTGAGGGATTCTTTAACCGAAGAACTTGAAGCCATACGCGCATTCTGATTGGGTTGTTGTATTTTCGCACATAACATTCTTGCAGGTTACGGAAGGGGCGAGTGTTGACGAATGATGCCGAACTAGACTGGAAGTTCGTGGCTCGATCGTAGCGCCATCAGTGGCTATTACGATTTATGTCCCTTCTATGTCCCTCCTACTGACCAGTTAGGTTTCAACTCTCATAAATACTTGCATTTGTTTAATAAAAATTAAGTGCCCAGTCAAGGCGAGCGATAATCAAAATCTATAATAAGGAAGGGAATTTATGGATGTCAACTTCTTTATTTCGAGCAACACAACGTTTCTGAGTATATACTTACTCCTTCATTCACCCGAAGAAGGAGTTATTATACTCCGAAAAGTTGTTCCTCATAATAAAGAATTTGAAACCATAAATTCTCTTCCTTAAGTGCATCTCTTCTAAATGTCTTTAAAAAATCTATTAAGTAATTAAACGGGTCTTACCTCGGAAAGTGCATCACATCACTTGAGCACTTTGATTAAAAACATTAAAAGATTTGGAAAATATCTGTCGACGCCCAGTTGGCGATACAAATGCTTGGAAAATCCTGCAATCGCCCGAAATTTCACAGCAGTCACCATGTTGTTTCCGAACAGGATGTCGATTTCTTTCCGCGATTTTGATTGGACTATGCTGACTCGTTTGCCAAGTCAAAAAATAACTTTATAATTCAACCCCATGGCCAGTTCGCAAGGGTCGAAACTGGACTTCTATAGTCAGTTAACTCCCTTGCCTTGGGAAGATGTTATCGAACCAAATTCCAAATGCAACATGAATGGTCGCAAGATGATGCATGTCCTGTGTGGCAAGATACCCGTGTGAATAGAACTGTTAACTTTGAAGGAAATAACGGAATTAGAAACCTCCTTTACGGTTTGATTGACCAATCAGAATCAAGCATTCTTCAGGGTCATGGTAGAATGCGTACGTACACAACTACCAACTGCTACACTGAACCCCTCCACAAGGCCTAGAGTCGATTAAAGGGACCTTATTTGGTCTGTCATGTTGGAGTCGTGTTAAAGAGAGATATGAAAGATATGAGAGACAAGATGACACAGAGAGGGGTTCCTGTGTCTTACTGTAACTTAAAGACAAATAATGTCCACGTGGAGTGGAAAATAATTTTATTATTCCAATTTCATCCAAACATTTGATCATTTATAACAATTACATGTTCAAGTGCAAAATATCAAAACATGTACATACAGCATAGACGTTTATACACTTACTACAAATATAAACTTTGCTAGGTGTTAAAATAGATAAACACTGAACAAACATCAATAGGAATGTTAGATTCATATGAGTATTTACACGATGAATTATATACAAAACCGTACATAAACACAAGTGAAAGACTGATAACGCAAATGTTCCAGCGTCATCACGCGACAACAGGACTAGAATCGGTAATCACGATGATAGACTGGGTTTGAGACTGAATCAGTAAAATGGTGTTGACCTTTTTTGTTCTAGCGGCATAGGGTCCTCCTTCTGGCTTCCACCGCAATGCAAACATGACAGGCCTTGTCAATGTCGTATTACTGCATGTCAACTGTCATGTCACACACTGCTCATAGTTAATGGGGAAAAAAAATGTATATATATGAGAGGTGACGTCGAGTTATGCCATGTCTTTATCACACTAGCCCATGCAGGTTTAAACACAGTTACTCTTCAGTTGGTCATCCATGTCGTTTATCACACCCGCCCATGCAGGTTTAAACACAGATACTCTTCAGTTGGTCATCCCTGAGCTTCTGGACACTATCACATATGTATGTTTGTAGTTATTACTGACTCTGGCGAGTTACCTCCTCCTGCTCTGTTTGAAATCCTTCACCAGTCTGGACATTTCCTCTAGACCCTAAAACAGTCCCTCCCCGGTCGTTGCGCATGTCCCCTGGATGTACCACTTCCGGTCCGTCAACTTCTGAAGGTGAAGGGCATCCACTACTTCAGACAACTTGGCGGCAGCTTCAGGAAAAACGTGTAAAGAATCCATATCAATACAGTGGTGAGTGAGTAAGCAATATTCCAACAATACCAGGGCGGGGGACACCAGAAATGGGCTTCACATTGTACCTGTGTCGGGAATAGAACCCGGGTCTTCGGCGTGATGAGCGAACGCTTTAACCACTAGGCTACCCGACCGCCCCCAGTACAGTGGTAGTGAGAAGAGACTATGTTACCGTGTGTAACAAGATATTTACTTTCAAAACACCAATACTTGCATACTGATAATGTTCAACCGAAATAATATAACACACTCATAATATGACAAGAAATGTTATGGATAGCAACTTCATCATTATACGGACATAGCGTTTCGGGAATATAGTGTCTGTCCCTTCATCAGCTTATAAAAAACTTAATATGAAAAACCCTATTCATACGTAAACCTAACTTCTAATTGCCTACAAAGACTTACAGAATCATAATAATAATCATCGTCATCATCACTACAATCATATTCATAAGCAGCATCAGTATCATAATAATTGGAAATAAAGACAATCCTGCGCCTTAAGCTGTGTACGTTGCTAATACAAGGGCAGCCACATTGATTTTCTGAATCGCCCATGTGCCTACCTGGCAAGTCTTGCTTGTTAGCCAGGATGACGACAGGAACGGATCTCATCTCGTCGCTGTCGATGACGTTCATCAGTTCATCTCGTGACTCGGCAAACCTCTCCCTATCGTTGGTGTCAACCACGTACAAGATACCTGAAATAAACAAGCTGATATTCACTTCTGGTCACAGAGCCGGTTGAATCTGAACAAACCTCTCGACAAAGGAGTTCAAATAGTTTCACGATGTCAGGAATCTACCCCAAATGCAGGACAAAGGAGGGCAATACCATTTGGCTACCAACCTTCACATATTAGAAACAGTTATGCTGTACATATGTACAGGTATTTAAGAATGTTCAGGTAGCAGATTATAGGTGATATTGTCATCGATGAGACTCACGCCAGGAATGTCAGGAATCGAATCCAAATGTGGGACCAAGGAAAGCGTTAACCACATGACTAGCTACCCGCGTCCCAATATCTAGTCCCGATAATATAGTTTTGTAAGGGGGTCGTGGGATGAGAAAACGGAAGAAACGGTGTTTCCAAGTTTAGAGATGTAATAGGAAACTGACCGCTGCAGTTCTGGAAGTAGTGTCTCCACAGGGGTCTGATCCTGTCCTGACCGCCGACATCCCACACGGTAAAGTTGACGCCTTTGCAGGGGCTGACGGTCTTCACGTTGAAGCCGATGGTGGGGATGCTGGAGACAACCTCGTTCAGCTTCAACTTGTACAGGATCGTCGTCTTACCTACAACATGCAGACCATGGTCCATGCAATCATTGTGTCACACAAATGGCTTTTAGTGTGCACATAAACAAAATGTATTTTTGACAATCTAAGAGCTGATAAATATTGTATTTTTTCACACTTTGTTTCCCTTAAAATCACAGTTGAATGTGAAAATATATATATTTTGCAAGAAAATGACAAAACATAATAATAAATGCATATTTTTGTAGAAAAAAAATAAAAAACGAACGAAAAAAGTTATACCCTAAACTTAAATGAACAACGTTTGTTTTAATAAAGTGAAATTCCATTATCTTAATAATAGTTTGTTTAAAAAGGTAACTGCACTAAACATTAATATACATACCGGCAGCATCGAATCCAACCATCAGAATTCTAGCTTGGTCTCTGGAAAACCCGGAGAAAAGGCCTGTAAAGTCAGCAAGTTTATCCCAGATAACACCCATGACTTGTCGAGCTCTGGAACGGTTGTGAAATATTTAACTTGTAATTGGTTGTATGTTCTCTCCTGGCTGTAGATCTTCACCAACAGCGATGTAACAAATCCAATGCCCTCTAAGCACAGTGAATATTCCTTGAATTGTTCCCATTTCTGTAGAAATAGTATGTGTGAACTTGAAGGAGTTATATCACACTTTTTCTTTTCCACTCAGTAGTCACCAGTTATTATCCCCAGTCCTCTGTGTATGCTTAGCCCT